GAGCATGGAGAATTTTTAGGGCAGTGAAAATACTCTGCATGATGTAATAATGGTGGCTATAAGTCCTGTACATTTCTCCAACCCATAGAACAAATACCACCAAGAGTGAATCCTCATGTGAACTATGGGCTTTGGGTGATAATGACGTGTCATTGTAGGTTCATCAATTGTAACATATGTACTATTCTGCTGGGGGATGCTGATCACAGAGGAGGCTGTGCATGTGGTGGGGCAGGGGATATTTGAGATATCTCTGTGCCTTCCTTTCCATTTCGCTGTGAACTTAAGGGGCTCTTAAAAAAAAAGAACCTTTAAAAAAATTAATCAAAGTTTGTTCATTAATTAAAGTAAATATATACTGAAGAAATGAATAAACCGTTTTTCGGATGTCACTTCTTCATTTTTTTTTCTTTCTTTTAATGAAAGCCAAAAAGCTATCTGCTCATTTTTTTCTTGGAAGTCCATAAAATAATGATGTGTCCTGCAATTGATGGGCTTATAGATTCAATGAAGGACAGGATATAGAGCAACCGGGCTGAATTGTACCTCCAGCTGTTTTGGCTGTTTCAGCCCCACTCAAGGCAGGTCAGCTGGCAAGCAGAGCACACACGTCTCAAAGGCTCAAAACCTACTCACATCCTTGGGGGTCCCACTGAGTCCCCAAGAGCACTGAGGAAACAACCACTTGACAGTATCCCATATTTTCACAAATCTGTCTGCCCCACACCACAGCCATCAGCTCAAAATGACCATTCCGACATTTTCTGTAAGTCAAAATCTCTCCCTTCAAAAGGCCCATGTTCAGAAGCTCCCTCCCATAAGACTTTCTCTGGTTCCCCATGATGATATGAACACGCCTAGTCAACATTCATTTCATTCCACCTGGCGTTATTAAGTCAGTCTACTTATGCCTTCCCTATTAGACTTAGAACTCCCTGAGGTCAAGAAATACTCTTCCTTATCTCCACATTGCTCTATTTCCTGCAGAGAGCTTGGCTTATCAAAGATATTTAATCAGTTCAACAAACTGATTCAAACAGCCCCCCATCTAAGGCAATTTGTCCAGAGAATCTTCCTGCACTATGCAATCCATTCTAGATTAAAATGCCAAAGACCAGAAATCTGGAAGTAGAAAAAAAAATCAAATAATTAATTTCAGAAAAAAGTAGAATTCCAAATCTCTTAAAACATAATTTTGAAATCCTTTTAAACATGCAAGCCTTACTAATTACTCTGCAAATACTCATCTCAGAGACTGTCCACATACTGCCTAATTCCTAACGATTATTGGACGGAATTTGTACCTGATTTCCTCATGCTTAAATTACAAAAGGTTAAGATGGAACAATGACATTGGGAAAACAATCTCCTTCTTAATTGTGCCACTGGAGCTAAAATACCCTTTCATGCATATAACTAATTCAAACCTTCACTATTTCCTATAAATCAGAAATACTTAAATGGCATTCAAAAAGGTAGCAAAACAAATACACACACACACACACACCGGAAGATTCTATGACACCACTCTCTAATCTAAAGGATTTATGTCATTTCTGGCCAGAGAGAATACAGAAAATCAGCCAATACAACACTTTCATTGATCAATGTAAGGAAATTGGAAATGACCCAGAAGTAGGGGATACCCAGGACCACAGGATATGAGAAATATAGTCAGGACTGTCATAGCAGAAGTCATGAGGTGAATATCTGGGAGCCCAATCCTTCTTTCTGCTCTCCCAGAGTAACTGGTAGAATCCTAACCTAAAACCCAAACGGGACCTTGAAGGAGCAGATTCAAAATTTGGACATGGATTATATCAACATGTCAATGAAGACCCCCAACATCACCTGTCACCAACAAGGCCCTAGAGAATCCCCACTACACATCGCAGAAGAGTGTCATTGCAAACGGTTCTGCTGTTGTGAAGTGGTCAGCTGGGAAAAAAGGAACAGGTGGGAGAGGATGGGGAGGTGACTGGCTGTGGCCTTTGTACCCTGGACACAAACTAGCAGTGGAAATAAATCCTGGTGCTTCCCAGTCCATTTGCTCTGTTTACCAATCTCTTATTCTTTGCAAAGCAACCATATCTGGGGAGAGGAGGGAGGCAGAAAAAGGAATTAAAAGATGTATCACAAGGCTCTTGCCCATGTGAGGTAGGCTGTGGGTGACAAGCTTGGGTGCCCTGGCTTTTTTTGTTGTAAATCGCCCACAGAATCTGAAATCTCTCTCTTTGGCTCAAACCCTGAGCCATCTCCCTTTAAGAGATTAAACCCTTTCTCCTGAAGAAGAAGATAGAGATTCACATGCGGCAAGAATAACACCTCCCCATGGATCATCCTGAGGAGACCAGTAAAAAAAAAATGATAGTCTGTAATAGCAAAGGTCATCACCGCAAGGGAATTTTCACTTGAGAAATTACCACCATGCTCAACATCCCTGGTATCTCTGTCAACAGAGAAAAGCATCTGCCAAGCTGGCCAGGTGTTGACTAACAATGCAAAGAATCCCCCGCGCTTGCAGCATTCGAGTCTCCCGTAGTCCAAGGCACAGGCACAGGCTCTCCTGTGCTCCACACCACTGGACCAGGGGCAGCGACTCCATCTTCAGTCCACATAGATCACGGAGAAATGTAATGGACAAAACAGTTTTAAAGAATCATGTCCTGGCATAGAAATTAGGTAAATCATCAGGGATTTCACTCCTGTTCCGAATGTAAACCTATGTTGCACTAAAAGATCTTCATTTAACTTCTTTTGCTTTCTCTGATTTCATAACATTTAAATCTATCAACTTTCTATTGATTTTGAATTCGTTGAATGGGTTGAAATGGCAGCTTCAGTCGAGGCAAAATGGCACAGATGTGTTTTCAGACCAGCCAGGTTCCCCCTCAGTGTTCTGGACAGAGGCCTCCCTCCTTGTCTGTTCTTCCAAACGCCCCTATTTTTGCTGATGGAACAGCCTTCCTTGGAATCACACAGGCTCTTCACCTTGGCGTCTCCATGGACTCCGCCCTTTGCCTCTCCTTGGCCTCCTCCTTTACTGTTACTCCAGATCTAATGAGTGCCAAACCTGAAACTCCTCCACTTGCCCAGTGTGCATTCCTCCCTCTCTGGTCCGGCCACAGCCACCAAGTCTGGCCTCCCCAAGACCTGCCTCATTTCATGCTGGCCTCCCTGCCTCAAGTCTTGTTCCCTCCTTTCTGTGTTTCCTTGACATGGCTGACAAATCAACCTTCCAGAAAAAAGTGATCATGCAATTCCTTGTTCAATACCATTGAGGACTCTCTCTCTCTCTTTTTCCTACTTTCTATTTTATTTTATGGTTCTTAGGAAGTATGCAGAGAACTCTCCCTTAATGTGGAGAAAATTCACACTCCTCAGTCTGTCCTTCAAAGCCTGGTCACATCCAAACAACTCAATGTTGAATCCCACTGCTGCCTCTTATATCCCCAGTCTACCAACCACTCACTGACCTCTGCACATGCTTAGAACAAGTCCACTGTCATTTATGCGGGCAGTGCCCCTCTGCTCCTGGCTCTGTACCTTCAAACCTTCCCATCTTCAAAGCTCAGGCGAAACGTCCAATCTCCAAAAGCCGTCCCTGGCCACCTTTGATGAAAAGGATCTTTCATTCCTAACTCTATGACAGATACTTTCCTTTGCGAGGCATTGATGTTCCTCCCCCACCCTCCCCGTCTCCAAAACATGACCTCCCTCTGCTGCGAATTTCCTGGGGGCCACACTCTGTGACTTTCCCTGCATCCTCCACAGGGACCTAGGAACCTGCCATGCCTACAGCAGTCTCTGCACAACACTCAGAAGTTTGTACCCGCTTAGATGTCCACCTTTCTCTTCTCCCACACCCTGCTCATCAGGTAGAGAACTTTCCCAAGGAAAACAGAACTTCCCTGCTACAGTACCAAAACAGGTCCAGGTTGCCACTCCATCACAACTCTGCCATTTTTGAAATCTTTCGGAATGAGCTCAGTTGTCACAGGCTGCACTCTGCGGAAACGTCAGCCCAGAAGGCAGAGGATGTCATTTGGGCAGAACCGGGGCTACTCCACGCTGGTGACCACAGGCTGGGTGTTTTGTGCCCCTAGAGGGTTAGGACGCACAGCAGCCAGTCGCCAAGGACGCAAAGGACCAGCGCTTGGGTGCGGGGCGGGCAGGGCAGAGTCCCGGGAGTTGTACCCTGTTGAATACCGGCTCCAAACTTTTCCCTCCGTCAGCGCGGAGCCCTCCACCAGCCAGGACTGGCTGACGCCGCGATGCCACAAAAGCCGGGACCGGAAGAGAAAAATGCGTGGGATGGGGAAGGCAAAGGTGGTTATTTTCAGAACTTCGGGGGCTCCCGGGCCGGCCCTTGGGGTTCCCGAGCGTGTGAGGTCAGCGTGCTGCCGCCCGCAGGGCCGGACCGGCGCCTGCCCGGGACCGGATGGGCAGGGTCGGGATGCAGACGCCGCTCTGGTGTTGGTGCTGATGCTGCGGCCGCCGCGCGCTGACAGCCGCTCCGCCACCCACCGCGCGGAGCTGCGGCTCGGCGCCCCCGGTCCGCTCCGGCCCCGGGCAGGGCCTGCGGGCTGCGGCGGGCAGCGGGGCCCAGGCCGCTACTCACCCGGAGGGTTGACCGCCGCCGGGGTTGCCATCTTGTTCGGAGAGGATCCGCGCGCGCCGCCAAGGGCGCGGGAGGGGCGGCGCGAGCCGGGCGCGCAGCCCCGGGGACCCGGTCAGGCCCAGGCGCCGCCGCCGCCACACAAAGGACGGCGCGGGCGGGCGGCGCTCCCTCCGCGCTCCCAGCCGCCGCGGCCGCTCGCCGTCCCCGCCTTCCCCGCCTCCGCCTCCCCCTCCTCGGCCTCCCCCTCCTCGGCCTCCTCCTCCCAGTTCAGCCTTTGTCGCGCGGCGGGGGGCGCCCGGCCCGCGGCTCCCCAGTCAGAGAGGTAGCACCGCGAGACTTGGGGCTGCGGGCGGCGGGACCCCTAGGTTGGGCGCCGCCGACTGGCGGGGCAGAGGCTGGGGCGCCCCCTCGGGCCCGCGCAGGGACCGCAGGCGCCCCTCCCGCGCTCGCCCGGCCCGGGCTGCCCCCGCGCGCCCACGCCCCAGGTGTCAGGGCGCGCATCACCGAGGGGCGCCGTGCCCAGGCCAGGGGGCCAGGGCGGAGCGGGTGGGGGAGAAGCCCATTTAGATTCAGAGGGAAGCCGGCCCTGGGAGACGGCCGCGAGGAACAAAGGCGCCCCAGAGCTGCCCACTTAGCATGCCAGAGCCGCGCTGCTCGGCTCCCAGGCCGGGGACGCGACCCGGTGCCGAGCGGAGGGCTCCGGGCCCCGGGAACTCCTAAGGCCACAGGCACCTCCAAGGCCACCGCCGCACGCAGCTTCGGAGTGCACGGTGCACACGCCCAGGCACAGCAGCCGGGCCCTAGAGATTGCGAATGCTTTGGCTTTGAGTAAGGCGCTCAGCTCTACCTTCCTTCTTGCGGTGATTACTGCCCTTGGTTATTACCTGAGGGCGTTGCAAGAGCCTTATTTACACCGCCAAGTTGAGAATTTAAAAACATTTTTAAAAATAGGTTTATCTGCGTATCCTGGTGAAGTTAGGATGCAGAGAACTTGGAGCGGTTGTTTTCTACCAGACACGAGGATCCCTGTGAAAGGTAATGGCCCCTAGGAGGGACACGCCACGATCGTGGTCCCCTGTAAAGGTTAAATGGAAGAATAAATACATCCCCGGTGAACGCTGCTGAGAAGGGCAAGATGGCCCCTAAACGCAGGCATGTTTGCAGAAACATCAGACTGTCTTAAATCCTTCCAAAGAAGCATTTTCTGGAGGGTAGAGAAACAATGTTTGGGGTGTATGTTCAAATAAGCATTCTCCACTTTGGGAGACCAAGGCGGGCAGATCACGAGGTCAAGAGATCGAGACCATCCTGGCCAAATGGTGAAACCCCGTCTCTACTAAAAATACAAAAAAAATGGGGTCTGTCGGGGGGGGGAGGAAATAGGGGAGGGATAGCAGGGGGTAGGGAGTTGGGGAGAGATAACATGCGGAGAAATGCCAGCATTTTTGATGGGGAGGAAGGCAGCAAATCACATTGCCATGTGTGTACCTATGCAACAATCCTGCATGTTCTTCACATGTACCCCAAAACCTAAAATGCGATTTTAAAAAATACAAAAATTATCTGGGTGTGGTGACACGCGCCTGCAGTCCCAGCTACTCGGGAGGCTGAGGCAGGAGAATGGCTTGAAACCGGGAGGCGGAGGTTGCGGTGAGCCGAGATGGCGCCACTGCACTCCAGCCTGGCTGCTGGCGATGGAGCAAGACTCTGTCTTAAAAAAAAGGGGTGGGGGGTGGCGGGTGCGGTGGCTCACGTCTGTAATCCCAGCACTTTGGGAAGCCGAGGCAGGTGGATCACGAGGTCAAGAGATCGAGACAACATAGTGAAACCCCGTCTCTACTAAAAATACAAAAAATTAACTGGGCATGGGGGCGCGTGCCTGTAATCCCAGCTACTCAGGAGGCTGAGGCAGGAGAATTGCCTGAACCCAGGAGGCGGAGGTTGCGGTGAGCCAAGATCGCGCCATTGCACTCCAGCCTGGGTAACAAGAGCGAAACTCTGTCTCAAAAAAAAACAAAAGCAAAACATTCTCTTCGGGGAGTATTTGTCACTACCAATCTAATAGTTTATCAATTCCACAAATGTTGAATGTCTGCTGTGTGCCAGACACAAAGCCAGGTGTTGGATATATTATGGAAAGAAAGACACAGGAGCTCTGTTCTCCAAGGGCTTCTAGAAGCCCTGAAATTGGCATCTCCAGCCTGTGGTCACTACTGAATGAATGAAGGCAGACATGAGGTGGAGGATCTGGGGAAACCAAAATTAGGCTTTGAAGAAAACAGCAGGACAGGTGGAAAAAGAAGACATTTCAAGTGAAAAATAAAGTACAAGATAGGCCAGGCCCAGACAGAGAAACCAGGATATCAGCTATGGCCCGCCCCCATGCCCCATATCGAAATTGACTGTTCCTGATTCCAACATCAAGCCGAATGAGAATTCAGCCTCTTCTGCATACCCGGAAAGGCAATACACTCAAATACCAACTTAATTAATGCATAACACATACTGGACTGAAGATTTCTTAAGGAAACTACAAGAGGAGGCTCTCCTCACTCACTCTACATCAAAGAAGTAAAACTCCAGCTCGGATATTTCTGCTGCCCAGAGTCCTTTCTGGATCCTTCTCCCCACAGGCCATTCAGTCTCTGGTGGCTCATCTACATAAGTAGCACTTGGCATCATTGCCTCCTATCCCACGAGGCTCTTTTATTTTCCAACTTTCCACACCCCTTAGAAGCAAGCAAGTTCCTCTCCTTGGTGTTTATGTATTGGTTTAGCATTTCAGCCAGGATCTATGGCTCATTTTGTCTCCAAATATATTTCTAATGTGCTCCATAAAAATAAAATGAGTGAACACAACTTTTACGCACACACACATTTAAACATACAGATTTGTTGACAAGTTTTCCTTTCTTACCCTGCTGTTGTGTTCTGCCCATTTTTCTAAATGTTACTCAGCGAATATCTTTAATACTGGATCTTACACAAGCTTCCTACTTCTTGCACTGGTCATTGCCATAAAAGACAAGTGACATGTGGACAACTAGATACTTCCCATAGTCTGGAGTCTGCCATGCTGTGGTTTTTGGTGTGTAATAAATACGTTTAGATTTTCACAAAGGAGACATTTCATCTTCTCCCCCAGTCACTGGATTTTGGAGGTACAAAGGACCTTTGACATCATCCAATTCTGTCCCCAGAGTTTGCAGATAAGGAAACTGAGGCTCAGGGTAGCCAAGGTCATGCAGCTTAATAGTTAGACAAGATTTAGAACTGGGTTATGCACAATACTGGGATTTGGTGGCTGGGATGGGGAGTGGTTAGGGTGTCAGAGAAGAGAGAGAGAAATGGAAGACTCACCTTCTCTCTCTTGTGTCTCAGTATTAAATAGGTTAAATGTTCAGAAGCACTGATTGTAGATGAATCCCCCCCCCAACTTAAGTAAACAGACTGAAATGGAGTGGTTAGTCATTGTTGAATACTGAGTGGCATTTACATAAAACAGTGGCCTGGTGCTAATTATGAGTTAGTAGACTGTGACCAGTTAACACGGGCTCAGGAATTCCACTCAACCTTTAAACAACCTAGAACTCTTTGAAATTCCAAAGGAGACTGTTGAATTTGAAGCTGAGATTTGCATTTTTGAAAAGATTAATGCAGACCCACTGGGCCCACAGCACCCGATAGTGGGCACAGCGCTCCCAGAAATGACCAGAGTCGACCAGCCACTATGCTGATGCGTACCAGGGTCCACAGCCTTGCTTGCTTCTTTTTTTTAACTTGGTGGGAGAAAGCAGCCACCTGAGTTCTGCTTCACATCCCTTTAAGTCCTAACACTAGAGACAGAGGATCTCCATTGTATAATATGTACTGATCCAAGGCAATTTTATCTTCTTTTAACTTTACTTTAAGATAGCAAGAGGCCAGGAATGAAAGCACAGCCTTCTGCAGAAGGAGAGGAGAAATAACCACAGGGTCTCTCTCCATTCTGCATGTGTCCTCTTAACCCTTCCTTCCTCCTCCATTCTTTCTAACTTCTCTCTTTGCTGGAGAAAAAGGCTCATGGGTCCCTGTTATCCCCACTGCTACCTCCTTATCTTTATCTCTGCACAGGTCACAACTGCCCACAGGCTGTCTGTCCAGGCACTACCTCCAGCCCCACCTGTGCCTTCTGCTCTACGAGGCCTCTCCTTTACACCAAGAATCATGGACTTACAACAGATCAAAAGTGGATGAGATCTTAGTTTTATACAAAAAGGCATGAACACCAGCCTTTGAAGCAGAAAGCGTGGTATAGGTTTTTGCCCCGTCACTTCATGAAACTTCTCTAATCCTCACTTTCTCCTCCTGGGAAGTGGGGATGGTGTTACCTACTATGCTGAGTTTTGGTGAAGATGACATTGAATGAAGTAATGCTCATGCTGTATACACTTTAGAGACCTTAAAATGTATTGCGATGGCATTGCAGAGGGAAGAAGAAAAGTAGGGCAAGTTCCTGTCCCGCAGAGGTAGGAAGGGGAAGCTCGTTGTGCTTGACATTCATGGAGAATGGGGAAAAGGAAGGAAGGGCGGTGGGAGGAGAAACAGGCAATCAGAACCAGGTGCTGTAATTTCCGTGGAAGGTATATCAAGCCAGCTGATGGAATAGCCAAAAGCAGAGGCATTTCTGGCCACCGCCCATGTGGGAGTCTTGGGGAAGATAACACACAGGGTGGTTCTGCAGGGACTGAGGGACGTGGCTGCAAACCTGGGCCTGTGATATGGTGCTCCTGGCTCTCGCGGCTCTGTGAGGTGTGGTAGATGTCCCACAGGTGAGGAGACATGGAGGCACTGAGGGTGTAAACTAACAGATCTCTGGGTGAGGACTAAGAGGCTATAGTAGGCAGCATTAAATAAACAAACAAAGGCCCCAAACCGAGGCCACAGATATCAGCTCTCAGCGAGAGGCCTCCTAAAGACACCTTAATGGTCACCAGCCAAGTGACCATCCCAGCACCTCAGAATGGAGGTGGGCAAGACTCTAAGGCTCCCTTCTCTCCCGCCACTCCCTCCATGACCATGTAGACACCACCTTGAAGGGGAGCTGAGCATGAAAGGGAAAGGACCTAAAATGACTGTGTGCTCACCTGGGTGATGCTAAGCTTTCTAAGAGATGGGGTAAAACAAAGAAGTACCATGAGCTCTCAAGGTTAAAGTTGATTTGGCTCAAATGAATATGAGATGAGTACATTTCTAAACCTTTTACAGGGATAAAAAGAGACAATATAAAGTGAGAAATGCAACAGATGGAAACATATCTATGGTGAGAACGTACCATCCACGAACTCTTAGGAATCAAGACCAAGTACCATAGTGCTAAAATGTACACGACAAAAACTACCAGGGATTTAAGGAGAAGCTGACAAAAATCACCCCCGGTAGAGACTTTGACCAAGCTTTTGTAGTTACTGGTGGATGAGATCATCAACAACAAAAGACAGATGTAAAATACGCTGAGCTGAGTCGAGGTTTGTTTACTCTCGGCCTGCTGGAGGACTCTGCTCCGCTTCCCCTCTCCCCACGCCCCCGACCCAAGCATACCAGCCCCGGGAGGAAGGCATGGGGTGACTAAGTGGATTTGGAGACTACAACTGAGCCACAATGCTGCAGGCATAATCTTGCTCCCTGGCTGTGTCTTGTCTCTTGGGAGTTGTTCTCTTTCTAACAGAGCCCTGTGTCCCAAGGCCTGAGCTTCTTTCTGTGTCGAAGAACAGCATGTTTGTGCTGCTGCTTCTGCTGTGTTCTCTGGCTGTCTCAGGGGCCAGCGGCATCTGGACTGGCCTTTTCTACCCCACAGAGCCGCAACAACTTTGCAGCTTAGACTCAAAGCTGCTCTCAGAGCATGGAATTGGAAGCCAGACAGTCCCCTGTTCAAATCTCAGCAACTCTACTTACTGCTCAGTGTGAGTGAGACTCCCTGTGCCTCCATTTCCTCATCCATGACCTACTGACATGAATAGTGCTGATCTCATGGGGTTCTGTGAGAATTAAATGAG